ATTTTCTTTAGAACCATTATCATTGTAAATTTTTCTACTGCCCCTTGGAGATATAAATCGTTTTCAAAGCTTTTTGCCAGTTTTGCAATGCAGGACTATCTTTTTCAAGGACCTGGAATCCATTCTTTTGAAGTGTAATCATCAAAGAAGATGGCACCCTATCTTCCAGAATCTGTGGGCTGGTAAAAGGCTAACTTCAGTGGGCACCTTGCTTTTACTTATAAAAATACTTCCTGTCATAAAGATATGAGAAGTTTATTAGTAAACACATATGGCCCATGACCAACCCCTGAGGTCCTCCAGTACTTTCCCACTAGCTTACTCTAGCCTTAAAAAATCCACACCTCTTTGTTTCAATGGAGTTGGTTCAAATTGAGTTCTGGCCTTCTTCTATTGCAATAGTCTTGACTAAAATCCTTCTTGCCTGTGTAACTTTGCCTGATGCAATTTCTGCTTTGATAATTTACATAGTATTTTTGTAATAGTATTATTAAAAATGTTTTTCTTTTACCAGATATGATTCTAAATATCACTTGTGGATATTCTGGTCCATCCAGATAATGGCCCCTCGACATGTGCAAGAACTACATTTTCAAGGATAACATAAAATAAAACCCTAACTAACCCTTGAAGATTTCTACCTCCTAAAGTAATCTGGTCACTGACTTCATAACTTCTTTCATATCACTTTAAGAACTTTAAAAAACAGAGAGAGAGAGAGAGATACCACATCTTTGGTGCAAAACTACTACATCAGAGCTAGATGATGATCTTATCATTATAGCTAATCCTATGACGACAAAATTCCATAAACCTAAAACTTTTCTAAACTGTCAGATTTACATCTCAATTATAGAGGGGTGATCTGTGCTTAGTAGTTGTATGAACTTTCCGACACATTTATACTGAGTTATTTTTACCATTTGATCTTTTTTTTAGAAATACTTAAGATATATTTTGAAATAGAATGTTCAAAAGATGTAAAAGCAACGCCTTTAATTCCTCATATCCCCGACTTCAGCTTAAGAATTTAAGCACTGACAACACAATTAAAGCCCCCTTTTGTGCTTCTCCTCATGATTCCCCTCCCGCTCCCGTAGATATCTTGCCTGGCAGACTCCTCATGATAAATTCCACTGAGGTTCCACCCCAATCAGTCAAATGTGACATCAACTCCCGAGCCAGAGACCAGCCTTGACACATGCACAAGTGAATGGTGCACTAAAAGCTTTGAACTATCAAGCAAGATGCTCAGCCGTATAATAGATGTATTGATCTGTTTGAAGTTTCATGTCTGGAAACAATGATCCATCAGGGAAATTCTGTTTGCACTCAAGAGAGTCTTTAACCTGAAAACCATATGTCCTCGAATCTTCTCCTTCATATGTACTGCCTTACTGTATGATCACCCCCACACCATTGTGAGAAGAAAATAAAGAGAAATGTTTTCTTTGCATTCTTTTCTCTCCCCACTCTCCCTTTTCTGTCTGAAATAACTACACTACCAACAGCAACAAGTTCAAATACTTTCTCCTGAAGATTTATGCCCAGACCTTCTTATGATTGTGGTTTTGTAACAGTGGTAAGCCAAAAACACCCTGAAAATATAACAATGAAGGGATAATTAAGCAAGCCATGATATATCTGCACAATATTATATTATGAACATTTTTTAAATTTACAAGAACATGAGAAAATTGCTATGGCATAGTGTTAAAAGAAAAAAAAATAGTAGGATGCAAAATTATATAGGTGGTATGATCCCAATTAGTAAAAATGTATGCATAGAAAAAATATTGGAAGAAAATTATCCAAAGTGTCACAAGTAGTTCATTTTGAATAGTAGAAGTATGACTGGTTTATACTCGTCTGAGTTTTCTTAGTTTTTGATACCTTCATAATTTTAAAAAGCAACATTAAAATAAAATATTTTTTAAAAATAAGCATGTCAAGGAAAAGAAATTCCCTTGTGTTTCCAGAGCAGACCAGTTGCTTCCCAAGAGAAAAATAAAAGGTTCATGGGAATGAAAACGATCACTTTCCCTGGGATGCAGTGTTAAAAATTCTCCTCTGTTTTCATTCCCTTCCAATCCTGTGGAAATACACTCAGTAAAATAGAATCTCAGCAAATTCCTGGTTCTTTCTCTAAGGAATCAAGGATTTTAAGCACCAATCATAAAATCTAAAGCGAAGCCCTATGGGGAAACACTATCTTCTCTCCTGCTTTTCGCTCTGAAATATACACACATCTTGCATCAAGAAACATTTTTTCAGGAAAAACAAAGAATTGTTAATAAGAAGCACTGTGCTACTCCAAGTGTGGTCTCAGTCTGACCACCCCATCAGTTCGGGAACTTATTTGGATGCAGAATCTCAAGTCCATCCAGACCTAGTATACCAGAGCTTCTAAAGGTAAGGAAGGACCAGGAATCCATGTTTTGAAAAGCTCTCCAGGAAGATTCTTTTGCATATTAATATGAAAAGAACTTCAAAGGTTTAGATGATCAAGATTCCAATTAACTTCACTTTAACTCTTAAAGAAAAAAAAGAAAGGGGTGGGAGAGAATGTCAGAGGCTAATAATGAGCAGCGGTGTGCTAGTAAATGTTTAACAACTAGAACTCTGGGTGGGGGAGCCCTAATTTACAGCACTCTATAGATTGCGGTGGATCCTTGTGACATCACTAAACTTGAACTAGGAAGAGATGCAAACTAGTGGCTTTCAAAAGCTGGTACAAGCCAGCGGCATAGAACTGCAGAAGCCTCTTGCTGGAGGTGGTAACAAGGACTCCATTAATTGTTTAATTCTCTGAACATCTGTGAATGGAAATTTCTGTACAGAAAGGACTGAAGGATTAAATAATGCCTTGTTAAATGTATTCAAGATGGAGGAAGGCAAGAGCAAATTTAGCCCACAAATCTCAGAAAAAGACTGATACTGCAACTCTCATAAATTGCCAAAAGCATATGAAAGCAAGGAGTTGTAAAATGTGAGCCCCACTTCTGTTTGTTCTATGATAGTGCAGTTTTTTCATTATATTGAAAAAAAAAATCAAAGTATCTCAAAAATCTGGAAATGGAACTACCGTATGACCCAGCAATTCCACTCTTGAGTATCTACCCAGAGAAACCCAAGACATTAATTTGAAAACATATATGCACCCCTATGTTTATTGCAG